CGAGGGATCAGGAGGGTGAGTGGGTGTGGGGGCAGGCAGAGTAAACTTGGAGAACTTATATGTCCTGAAAAAAATCCTAATGCAAGAAAAAGGCTGAGTGTTCGGTTTGAGAATCATCAGCCTGGAAGGGCTAGGTGACAGCTGGGGAACGTTTGAGATCTCCACAGGGAAGCACAGAGGAAGGGAAAAGGAAGGGAAGAGCCAGGGCCAGGGACTGTGCCTCTGGGAAGGAAGGAAAGGGAATGTCAGAAATGACCAGGTCAGAACCAGGGATGGTCCAAAAGCTAAGCCTGAGCTTAGGGAGAGTTTCATGCGGAATATGTCCATGATGTGAGATTCTGCAGAGGGGACCGGGGCACTGGAGACTGGGATGAGGTCACCATCTTGACAGTGAAGTCAGCCGAGACCTTGGGAGGCAGTTTTTAGAGTTACCGGAAGGTAACAGAATGTGAAGGACACTGAAGATAAGACCAACAGGGATGAAACAGAGGCAGGCCAAGGAAATGCAGCACAGCAGCCTGCAGGGCCCTGGGGGTGAGTCCCTGACCTCTCCCCATCCCCTCTCCCACCCCCATGCCAGGTCCCCACCTTCCGGGAGTGTGTGGGCTTTGAAGCTGTACAGGAGGTGGCCGTGGGGCTGGTGCAGCCGGCTAGCGCGACCCTCTATGACTACTACAACCCCGGTGAGCACTGCGGGACACTTGGAGGTTTGGGATAGGTTGCCCTGATGTGGGACATCAGGAACTGGGGCTGTGAAGGGTGGCAGGGGGTCCTGTGGCTCCATGGGATGGGGGAGGCAGAGAGGTGGCATGTGCCCTAACTCCTCTGTCTGCTTTTCTCCAGAGAACAAATGTTCTATGTTTTACGGGGCACCAACTAAGAGCAAATTCCTGTCCACATTGTGCTCTGCTGATGTCTGCCAGTGTGCTGAGGGTGAGACCCAGGGCCTGGGGACAGGGGTGGGAAGACGGCATGGCTGGGGCCCACACAGTCTCATCTGGATCCCTGACTTCAGGGAAGTGCCCTCGACAGCGTCGTGCCCTGGAGCGGGGGCTACGGGATGAGGATGGTTACAGGATGAAGTTTGCCTGCTACTATCCCCGCGTGGATTATGGTCAGTCTTCCCCCCGCCTGACCCGCCCTCAGGGTCTCTTTGGTTGTGTCTGCTCCTCTCAGGCCTGCAGGTGGCCTCTTTGCTCTGACACCAACCTGCAGCCCCCTCAGCCTCGGGGTAACTAACCTTCCCTCCTTTCTCCTAAACTCCCTCTTAGGCTTCCAGGTTAAGGTTCTCCGAGAAGATGGCAGAGCTGCTTTCCGCCTCTTTGAGACCAAGATCACCCAAGTCCTGCACTTCAGTATGAAGGGAATGGATTGGGGGGTGGGGGCACAGGAATATAGGGGAGCTGAAGTCTGGGTTTGAGACCTGGCCACCTGGAATAGTGAAAAGTTAGATGAGTCTGAGCTCAAAGCCTCTCAGCCTCTTAGAAGCTCTGGGCTTATCCATAAATAGGAAAGCAGTAGCGCCTCCCTGTTGCGAGTGGTGAGGGTTAAGTGAGAGGATTTATGCAAAGTCCCTCACCCCATGCTCATCCTGTACCTTCTCTTCCCCTCCGACAACTCTTGTGCACGTTATCCCCTCAGCCAAGGATGCCAAGGCCACTGCTGGTCAGACCCGAAACTTCCTGGTTCGAGCCTCTTGCCGCCTTCGCTTGGAACCTGGGAAAGAATATTTGATCATGGGTCTGGACGGGGCCACCTATGACCTCAAGGAAGAGTGAGTTACCTGGGCGCCTCGGTCTCTAGCTCTCCTCACACCTCACGAGGGAATGGATCCCCAGTGCCTAGGCCCTGCCCCATCAGAAGCCAGGTGCCTCGTGCTCTCCTCTGCCACCTGCCCATCCTCCTGACCCCTGCTGACTGCCCCTTTGTCCCTGCAGTCCCCAATACCTGCTGGACTCAAACAGCTGGATCGAGGAGATGCCCTCTGAACGCCTGTGCCGGAGCACCCGCCAGCGGGAAGCCTGTGCCCAGCTCAGCGACTTTCTCAAGGAGTATGGCACCCAGGGGTGCCAGGTGTAAGGGCTGCTCCCCCACCTCCCCCAGGAGGAGCCTGAGCTGGGGAAGGGTGATGCCTGGATTGTTGCTGTACCCGGTCCCCTGAACATAGCCCCAGGGCAGGGCCAGAGATTCAATAAAGGCCTTTGGCAGCAAAGCGTCAGTGTGTGTCTCCAGGACTGAGAGCTGTGCCCCCACCTTCCCTTCCAGGTTCTGGGGGCCCAGGCCGGTGTTTGCAAAATCGTAGGCTTTCAGAGCCTGGATGACCCTGGAGGTGTCCAGCTCTGCCTGAACCCTCCCAGATGGCTCACTGGGAGCTCAGTCCATCATAGGACCACCCCGAGCAGACTTGTGACCCAACAGCCTGCACCCTGAGGATCCAGCGTCCACACTGAGGCCTCCCTTCTGCTATGCCTGCAGGACACTCTATTGCTCCAGTGTAGCCAGTCACTGCGGGCTCAGGCAGAGCTTGTGCTCAGCTAACCCCTCAGCTCTTCTGCCTTATGAGCGGCTGTCCAGTCACATGTTTCCCGCTCTGTCCTTGTGCAGTTGGCAGTTCTGGGGTCTGTTGCTTTTAGCTGAGACCTGGTCTGTTGAAAACCTGTTGACACTTGATCCTGTTATCAGTGACATTAGGTAATTTTCCCAGAGTTGTGCAATCCTCAGATCTGATGATGTCTCCATCCAGGTACTGATTTTAAACAAGCCAAAGGCTGACTTTGGTGTGTTTGTCAATACTCTGAGGAGACTGCTGTTCCACAGGGGTCAGCCCTCCCCACCTGCCTGCCTAGCTCTCCCCCAGATGGTGGCACCCATTGGGTCTTCAGGGCTGACCTAGAAAGCCATCTAGAGGAATTTGCTGAGATCAGTTTTGATGGAAACTGAGACATTTTAGCAGCCTGCCATTCAGTCATTCAACAGAAATTCATGGAACTCTCATTCCATGCCATCCCCTGTGCCAGGTTCCCATCCCCTCTGTGAAAGGTGTGATGTCGGGGAGCTACGTGGTCCTGTAGGGCACATAGATGGGGCATCTGACCCAGTCTGGGGGAATGTGGGAAAGGGGAAGGGAAGGCTTCCTGCAAGAAGTGACATCCAAGTTGGATTTGGAAGGCTGAGGAGTCAGGCAAATTGAATGGCGGTAGATGAGGGTGTTTGAGACAGAAGAAGGAGAATATGAAAGGCCTAGAGGCCGGGGGCAGGACAAAGCACATTTGGGGGCACTGCATGTAATTCACCATGTCTGGAATTTGAATTTGGAGGTGGGGTGGAAGGCTGGCAGGGTAAGTGGAGTCAGTTTATGAGGGGCTGTTCACAAGCATGCCAGCTGTCCAGGTCACTCCTTTCAACTGGAGTCCCCTCCTAGTCCATGCAACTTTGAGAGGTTCTGACCTTCCCCAGTCTTTCAGAGGCTTCCTAGGGCTGTTGTTTACGTGGCCCTGTGGTTACACATCAGATCTCTCTCCCAAAAGCCGGTCAGCATGGTGGTGGCATAAACCCATTTATAGTTGACCCTGGGAGGTCAACTATGAGGAAGGTGCTGTTGCTGCTCAACCCCAGAAATCCCACCCCTCTTCTCTCCCTCCCAGTCCTGGGCATGGATCAGACTTGGCCTGAGCCTCTTCCCTGAGGACCCCCAGGAGTTAGCTCTTCAAGCTAGTGGGTGGCACAGCTGGGATCTCCACAGTGGCACAGTCTGTGCTCTGGCTAAAGCTCTGAGGGGGGAAGGACCCCCCACTCCTGGGGACAGGGAATTGGTGGATGGTATAGGCCTCAGGTCACCGCCAAGCCCTCACTCCTATCACCCAGGTAGCTCTAATCTCTCACTGAGCCCTGCTACCCCTCTTTGGCATGATCTTTCCCCAAGCTCCTCCTCTAAGCACCTCAACTGCCTCCTCACCCATAAAAGTGGTCCCTGATAGCCCTACTTGGTCCTGCGGGACCCCACCCCTCATGGCTAAGGCTCTCAGAATAGGGCTGGATCCCTGACCCCAACTGTGGCTACTGAGTTCTGACTTTGGGATCGATGGGGGGCATGTTCGCTCATGCCAGGAATCCCCACTTGTCTTGGGGCTGGGCCTGTACCCTGTGGACTCTGACCGCAAACGCAGTCCTGTTCTGCCTGCACCTGGCAGCACAAGCGGCTTGACCGCAGAGAGAGAGCAGAGGAGAGCAGACAAAGAGGAGGGAGGAACGAAGAGTGAGGAAACGGCCCCATCTCTAGGGCTTTTTCTGTTCCCTATCCCTGGCCTTCCAAGGCCAGTGAGGTCCCCTCTCCTGCTCTCCTTCTCTTGGCTTCTGTGAGATACCCCCGTATTTGTATAACAATTCTTATTTTTGGCTCAAGCCAACTCAAGTTGGTCTGTTTTCCTTGCAACCAAAGAGTATCAGGTACATGGTAAGAGCTCCAAACTGGGGGACCATTTATTCCTTCATCTTCTTCGACTTTTGAGAGTGAAATGTGGCACTATTAACAATTACAGTGGGACTACAGATATAAACTGGGACAACCCAGGCCAGCCAGGCCATAAGGTCACCCTATCTGCAAGTTAAAAGAAAAACACACAGATCACTCTCATCTCATTTTGTCCTTCAGGCAATCCTGGAGGGCATATTAGGCAGGGACTGCCATTTTCTCTCTGAGAGAAACTCCGTAGCAGGTCCAAGGTGGGGTGGTGGGGGATGAGGGCTCAGGCAGAAAGTGGACACATTTTCCTGCGTGGTTGATGTGGAGCCAGAAAGCTGATTCTGGCTGTGGAGAAAGGTCAGGGTTTCCTTTCCCTTCCTTTCTTCTTGACGGATGGTTCTTTGAAATACGGACTCCCCAAGGCCAATGGGACTTACGCCATTCCAGGAATGTGCCACTCTGTGGGAGAGACAGTGAACAGGGACCTGAGGGAAGGAGTCAAGGGAAGCCCCAGAACAGCCGGAACAGCAAGATGGATGGGGGGCCTCAAGAGCTATAAGTGGCCTGGCCAAGGCCTTTGCATGGGTCTCCAGCCATGTTACTCCTTGGGCTGCTGCTGCTGCTGATCCTGCTGGCCGGCGCCCGCCTGCTGTGGGGCCAGTGGAAGCTCAGGAGCCTCCACCTCCCACCTCTTGTCCCTGGCTTCCTGCACCTGCTGCAGCCCAACCTCCCCATCTATCTTCTTGGCCTGACTCAGAAACTCGGGCCTATCTACAGGCTCCGCCTGGGGCTGCAAGGTGAGAGTCTGCTCCCTCTCTGGAGCCATGACGGTGGGGAGGTGGGGTCCTCTTCCTGCTGACGTCCTGATTTGGCTCTCCCCCAGATGTGGTGGTGCTGAACTCTAAGAGGACCATTGAAGAGGCCATGGTCAGGAAGTGGGTGGACTTTGCCGGCAGACCCCAGCTACCATCCTGTAAGGGGTTGGGGCATTTCTTGAGGGAAGAACAGAAACTGGGGGAGACACGGAAGGTCAGGCCTGTGGCTTCCTTGGTCAATTTGAACCCCCCATCCCCTCCACCATGCCTACTTGCAGACAAGCTGGTGTCTTGGCACGATCAGGATCTCTCACTAGGGGACTATTCCCTGCTCTGGAAGGCCCACAAGAAGCTCACCCACACAGCCCTGCTGCTGGGCATCCGCAACTCCATGGAGCCCCTGGTGGAACAGCTGACCCAGGAGTTCTGCGAGGTGAGGCTGGACTCCCATGGTCATCCCAGGTCAGCTTCACCTCCTCCAGCAGCGCCCCCGCCTGTTTAGTTCATGCTCCTTCTCCACAGCGCATGAGAGCCCAGGCCGGCGCCCCTGTGGCCATCCAGAAAGAATTCTCTTTCCTCACCTGCAGCATCATCTGTTACCTCACCTTTGGAGACAAGGTCAAGGCTCTCTTGCCCTCATATATGCTTGGGCCCACCCCTCAGTCCCTCCCTGACCCTCTCCTGGCCCTGAACTGAAAGGATTCCCCCCATTTCTAGCAGGAGGACACCTTAGTACATGCCTTTCACAACTGTGTCCAGGACTTGATGAAAACCTGGGAACACTGGTCCATCCAAGTTTTGAACATCATTCCCTTTCTCAGGGTGAGGAGGTGGACTCCAGGCACACCTGGATCCTCAGAGAAAGGGCAGGGGTGGGGAAACGGGCTTCCTTCCCAGTCACTAAACTCTCTTGCTCCCTGCCTCAGTTCTTCCCCAACCCAGGCCTCTGGAGGCTGAAGCAGGCCATGGAGAACAGGGACCACATCGTAGAGAAGCAGCTGAGGTGGCACAAGGTGAGAACTGTGTGTGGACTGGTCTCTCCCTCAGCCCACAGCCAGTGATGTTACTGCCCCAGAGCTAGGCAGGTTCTTCGGCAACCCATCAGTCCTGGACCTGTTGCCACCCCCAGACCCCTCTTCCCAAGCCAGGCACTCAGGCTGCCTCCTCCTCCCCTCCCCAGGAGAGCATGGTGGCAGGCCGGTGGAGGGACATGACAGACTACATGCTCCAAGCGGTGGGCAGGCCGACAGTGGAAGAGGGCCGTGGACAGCTCCTCGAAGGGCACGTGCATATGTCTGTGGTGGACCTTTTCATCGGTGGCACCGAGACCACTGCAAGCACCCTCTCCTGGGCTGTGGCATTCTTGCTTCACCACCCTGAGGTACAACCCGGGGGGCAGGCAAAAGGCTCCTTCCTGGCAGCCTGGCCAGGGCCTCAGGGACCCAGCTCACTCTGCCCTGATGCAGGCTGTGTTGGGAGGAGGGGGACGCTCCTCCTAATTGGCACAAAGCCTCCTGTGAGCTGCTCCATGGAGTGTCCAGAGACCGGGCAATTGTGGGTCGGCTAGCAGCAGGGCTTGGACCCCAGATACCAGACTTGCCCCCGTTTTCCAGATTCAGCAGCGACTACAAGACGAGTTGGATCGTGAGCTGGGCCCCAGAGCCTTGGGCTTCCGAGTCCCATACAAGGACCGCGCACGGCTGCCCTTGCTCAACGCCACCATCGCCGAGGTGCTGCGCCTGCGGCCTGTTGTGCCCCTGGCTTTGCCGCACCGCACCACGCGGCCTACCAGGTGACTCCTGAGAGGTAGGGGTGAGTGGGGAAGGCCCAAGCGGGGTCCTGTAGGCCTCTAACTCCACCCTTCCCTCAGCATCTTCGGCTACGACATTCCCAAGGGCACGGTCATCATCCCCAACCTCCAAGGCGCCCACCTGGACGAGACGGTCTGGGAGCAGCCACACGAGTTCCGGCCGGGTGCGTGACGGGGCCGGGGGCCAGCGGCAGAGGGTGGCGGAGCAGGCTGGCGGCCGCTGAACCCCGGCTCTGTCCTTCTGCCCGCAGACCGCTTCCTGTACCCTGGCGCGAGCCCCAGAGCGCTCACCTTCGGCTGCGGCGCGCGCGTGTGCCTGGGCGAGCCGCTGGCGCGCCTCGAGCTCTTCGTGGTGCTGGCCCGCCTGCTCCAGGCCTTCACGCTGCTGCCGCCCGAGGGCGCCCTGCCCTCTCTGCAGCCCCAGCCCCACTGCGGCGTCAACCTCACCATGCAGCCTTTCCAGGTGCGGCTGCAGCCCCGGGGGACGGGGACCCCGGGCCAGGGCCAGCGCCAGTGACAGAGCAGGACGCGCGCCGCTCACGTGCCTCAGTTTCTCCTTTTATTGCTTCCCTACAACCCCCTTCCCTCCCCCCTGTAAACATGGTGCTGTGAGATCGCGGGTGGAGAAGGCTTCCTCCGGTGGCTGGGTGGTGACGGTGGCCCCTGGCTCTTCTCTCAGCGCGACCCCTCAGTGCTCGGCAGTCATACTGGGGCGCGGGAGAGGTGAGCAGCGGCTCAGCCTCCCCGGGCGGGGGGCCGGTAGCTTCTTGGTCTCAGTTTCATTTCCGTGAAGGGTACGGAGAAGTCGAAGCCCTTCCAGTAGTACCAGCTCACACCCTGGGAAGAGAGTTGTTGGGAGAGAGTCACAGCCAGACATCCCCTCTGTTCCCACTCCTGCCCCTCTGGGAAGACGGTTCCCACAAATCAATCGAACTTCTTCCCTCCTGGCTCCCTTCACAACCCTCAACTGCGGAGGACTGTGGCTTAACCCGAGCTGGCCCTTCACATCCAATAAATCATCTCCTCCTCAAGGCACCTTGGTAAGAATGGATTATTGTCCCATTTCACAGAGGAGGGCCCTGAGGAACCGGGCGGCTCAGTAACTTGTCCTGTCATACTGCGTGCCACACCCAGGCGGGCCACTCCCCAACCACACCCAGCTCTCCTGCCTCCCAGGCCCCTCACCTGGTGGTCCACCGTGCTCCCGTAGAGCCCGTTGAGGTTGGCATAGTGGCAGTTCCTGTACCACCAGGCCCCACGGTACGAGACGGCACAGGAGATGAGCAAGTTGTTGGGGTCTCGATCACGGGCGGAAAAGACGCTGCCGCTGTGGTAGCTCATGGAGTCCCCTGGGCAGGGTGTGGGAAGGTACAGTGAAGCCCTCCCCTCTCCCATTCCCCTCCCCGTCCCCCCAGGCCCACTCCTCACCTGCAGTGCCATGATAGCCTTCCAGGTGGAGGCGGTAGTAGTCAGCAGCCGAGTCTACTCGGAAGGAGTCGTACTGGGCAAACACGGCCTCGTCCCCAGCCCTCAGGTCCACACGCATGGAGTAGTCGCCAGCTGTCGTCAGGCTGTGCAGGGCTTCATTGCCTGGGAGTAGGGAGCGTGCTCTCATCAGGGTCCTGGTGTCCACAGGGTCCCCATTCCTTCCCTGGTCCCCCAATCCCTGTGAGGCACTGACCCAGCCAGAACTCCCCAGAGATGTTCCCAAAACCGTGGGCATAGTCCTCCCAGTCCCTCCAGAAGTCCGTTTTTCCATCCATGCGGCGCTGGAACACCTGGGAAGCAGGTGGGGGCACCATCAGCCTCTGGCTCCTGGTGTAGCAGCCCCTGCCCAGTGCAGACCCCTGGGCTTCCGGCTGCCACCCACCAGCCAGCCGCCCTCATCTGTCTCCATGTCACAAAACACGTTCAGGGGCCGCTCGCGGTTGCCATTGAGGAAGATGGTGGTGGTCCTCGAGGTGCTGGGCCCGTTCTGCATCTCCTCCCCACAGTCCCGGGGGAAGGGGATTCGTAGTCCACCTGGGGAGAGGAGAGTGAGGGGCCAGTCCTTTTGCCAAATCCTAGATCCCTGCTGCCCACTCAGTCCCCACCCTCAGGTCCCAGCGCCCGAGTACCAGTGGTGAAAGAGGTGGACACGGGCGGCGTGAGGCTCTCGCCCCACATGGCCCGGAGCCATGCGCTGTAGGGGGTGGAAGGAAAGAGGCCCAGGAGCTGGTGAGAGGTGACCCCTCCTGGGAGCAGGATCTCCTGTGGGACAGAGAAGGGGCAGGTCAGGAGAGGGAGGTGGAGCCCCACCAGGAGAGGCAGAGGCAGCACCTCCTGGAATGGATCCCAGGGAGGGGAGTTGGCCAGTGGGGCAGGGGTGGGGCACCTGGGTCTGTCCGCCAGGGGTGTGGAAACTGAGCAGGTAGCCAGTTGGCGGGACTTGGGGTTCCGTCCAAGTGAGCAAGGCTGTGCGGGGGGTCACTTCCTGGGCCTCCAAGTCCTGAGGGGCCTCCAACCCTGGGAGGGGAAGGTGGGAAGAGAAGATGGAGATGAAACCCATCCTGGTTCTCTTGAACTCCCCCTCCCCCCGTCCCTCACACCTCACAGGCCGTACCTGTGGTGAAGGTGATGCTGGCTGAGGAGGTGAGGTTGGGGCCCCGCAGGCCACGCACGGTTGCTGTGTAGTTGGTGTGGAGCACGAGGTCGTGCAGGGAGTAGTCCACAGAGCTGCCTGGGGCTGAGGCCTGTAGAGGCGGGGCTGGGAGTGGGGGTGCAGCATGAGCATCTGTCCCCTCTGTGCCCTGCTAGAGCTCAGCCTGCCCTCTGCTCTCCCCACCCTGAACAAGTGCCCTCCAGAGGCCTCAGCCCTGCTCACCCCCTGGGGCTGTGACTCGGACGTCATATGTGTCCACAGGGGCCTGGGGGGGCTTCCAGTGCAGCAAGGCTGATCCCTCCGTCAAGTTCAGTGCGCGCAGCTGGGTGGGGCCGTCAGGAACTGGGAGAAGGGAGGGGGCTCAGAGCCGTCCCCTCCTGCTCTCCCCACCCCTCACCTTCCCAAACTCTGCTTGCCTCTTGTCCACAATTGGAGCCTCCAACACGCCCCTTCCCTGTCCCCGTTCACTCTCACCTCCACACCCTCATTTTCTCCCACTACCTTCTGCCCAGGTCCCCGTCCATCTCACCTGTGGTGAGGAAGCCTGTGAGAGGCTCACTCTCCTCAAAGCCGCGGACAGAGACCACCGTCACCTCGTAGTTGGCACCTGGGATCAGGCCCTTGAGTCTCAGGGTCCGGGCTTGGCCGTCCACCTGCACGCTCTGTGGCTCCCCTGAAAACACACTGGGCTTGGGAGGTTGCCCGGGAAGCAAGGAGGAGCTGCAGGGTGGGCAGAGTGCAGGGCACAGGAGAAATGAGAGCAAACGAGGATATGGGCAACAGGGCGTCACCTCCATCTGCCAGCTGGTAGGAAACTTTGAAGCTGTCCACTCTGGAAGGTGGGGGCGTCCAGCTGACCTTGGCTGAGGTCTCCCTGATTTCACTGAATTGGAGGTCATGGGGGCTCTCCAGAACTGAGGGGAGGGGTATGTCAAGGAGTGATGGTGAAGGCACGGGGCAGGGGGCTTCCAGCCCGGGATTCCCACCCTCCTCCCCCGGCCCCACTGGCTCCAGACATGCTGAGCACCACCCCTTTCCTCTAGACCTAGAAACAGAAGTCACTCTGTAGGTTCTTCCAAGCCCTCTACCACTCACCAACCTTCCCTCTGGCTGAGGCACTAGATCCCACCCTACGGTACAAAGACCTCCCACTGCAGGGCAGTGTGCATATGCGCCCAGAGTGGGGCCCTACCTGGGCTGAGGGTACGGGCGGTGCCCTGGATGCTGTCGGCCTTGTGGGGCCCTCGCAGCCCATACAACGTAAGGCTGTACAGGGTCCCCGGACGCAGGTCCCGGAGCACGGCCGAGCGCCGCGTCCCCGGTACCATCAGCTCCCGCTGCAGCAGGGCACGTGGATGTGGCTCCAGAGTGCTTGGCGATGGGACCCCGTAGCGGAGCAGGAAGGAGTCGAAGGCCCCAAGTGGGGCCTCCCAGTTGAGCCGCAGCGAACTGGTGGTCACGTCAGTCACGGACAGCTGGGACAGGCGGGGCCCTGGCTCCCCTGGGGTCTGACCGGCAGGAGCTGACCCTGCACAGAGTGGGTGGGAGAGAAGGGTTTGGAGACAGAAGTGCATCAGCTCAGTGACCTGGGGCAGGTCCTTTCTGACACCCCACCCTGGCCCCCATTTCCTCATTTGTAAAGTGGAGATGATGAGGGGCTGGCACCCACAGGCTGGCACCCATAGTGACGACATGTGTGTAAAGCCAAGGGCTGCTTGTCCTTCCCTTCCTCCCTCTATGGTACCCTCCTCATGTTCTTTCCGTACAGTCACTTCTGGGCAACCCCTTTCGCCCTTCCCAGGCCCAGACTAGAGGCAGGCGAGGCCAAGATGCAGGGCCCTCGCCTGGCAGTACCTGTGGTGCCCTCGGCTGAGACGGGCCCCAGGCGCTTCCCTTCATGGAGGCCGTAGAGGAAGAACTTGTAGGAGGTGCTGGGCTCCAGGCCTGACACGAGGACCTTGTTCTGGTTGCCACCCACGAGCAAGGCCTGGGGCTGCCCAGCTGTGTCCCGATACTGGACCACGAAGGAGTCAAAGGGGCCCTGGGTCACACTCCATGAGAGGCGCAGGGAGTCTGGGTTTCCATCAGTCACTGCCAGTGCCCCTAGGTGGGGCCCTTTGGGGGGCTTGGGCGCCTCTGTGGCAAGGTGCCAAGGGGCTGGCATGTCCTCTTCTGGGGCTGCGTGGGAGAAGCCCAGGGAGAAGCTGAGCAGGGAAGGTGCAGCAGGGCCCTCCCCACACCCTCTAACCCATGGAGGGCATTCCAGGGCTGGTCCAAGGCTGAGGTGACTCTACAGGTGCTGGCCATGGCAGCCAGGTGGAGAGAAGAGAGAGACTGAGGTTCTTCTAGCATCTTCCTTCTATTGAGTCTGCCATATCCCTGCTTTGGCACTGACTCCTGCCACCTGTGGGCCTCTCTGAGCGCCATCACTGTGGCCCCATCACTCCTCTGTGGGGCCCCTTTGCTGTGTCTGGATCAGGTGCTTGCTTTCCCCTTCTCCACCCCAACATCCTACCACACCCCACCTTTAGATGTCTGCACAGGCCATACTCCCTCCCCACCCAGCCTGGGACACCTGTGCTCATGGCCTGAGGCAGGAACAACTCAGTCGCTCCCTGAGCTGGGGTCACAGGGGGTCCTCCCTTCTCAGAAAAGCTGAGGATGCAGCTGGCTGGTGACCGCAGAGGGCAAAGCATGCCAGCAGGTGGGGCCCCACGCCAGTCAGGCAGATCTGAGGTGGGTGTGAGTAACCTCTGGAAGAAGAGCCTGCTCCATAAATGCAGCTACTTCTACTGGTTTCTATGCCCCTTCTCTTGTTTTCCAGTAATTTTCCATTTGAGAAAATGCTCCTGACTCATCCACAGGACGGGGTTTGCCCCTGTCTGGGCAAGGCCACCCTGTGGGGTGGTAAGAGCTGCCCCAGGAGAGTGATGGGAGAGCTGGAGCACTGGGACAGGGTGGGGGCGGGCAGATTGGGGACCCCTGCCAGGGCCTTTCCGTGCTGCCTGTCCTGGCTCCTGCTTTTGCCCCACCCCTTGCTCATGGTCAGAGCTGACCCTCCTGCACTCTTCCTCTCTCCTGTGCCCTGGGCAGGGCTCCCTCACACCCCTGCCCATTCCTGCCAGTCCCTTCAGCCCAAAGGCATGAGGAAACCCACTCAGGCCGGCTTGCTAAGGCCAAGCAGGCCAGCCTTCCACTCACCTGTCACTCCCAGGACAGAGACAGGGCCCAGGCGCTGCCCTCCGAGGAGCCCGAAGAGCAGAAACTTGTATTTCCTGCCAGGCTCTAGGCCCTCTATGGTGACCTCCCGCTGGTCTGCAGCCACAGGCACTGCCCGGGGCTTCCCGTCTGTGTCCTTGTACTGAACCACGAAGGAGTCAAAAGGGCCTAGGGCCACTGTCCATGAGAGGTGCAAGGAGTCTGAGGTCTCATCCGTCACTGTCAGCTCCCCCAGGCGGGGTGGGGGCTGCCGCTCCTTCTCCAGGGGAGCTGTGGGGAGAGAGGGGGGAGAAACTCTTAGTCAAGAGCTGCCTTTACCTCAGCCCGGGCAACTTCCAGGAGGCAAGAGGGTCTGGGAAAGGCTCCCTGAAGTTTGGCTCCAGGGACAGCCACCTGAGACAGACAGGCCCACTCCAGTCCTGCCCTGTAGGAAGGAGAGTGAGCAGCCCAGTCTCCTCTGGAGGCCACTGCCCAAACTCCTTCCTGCCCCACTCTCTCCCCACTGTGATCAAGGGTGCAGTAAATGCATAAAAGATCACCTTGTGAGAGAGGGATGGCTGGGGTACAGAGAAGGGCCTCAGTTTCCCCCGACCCTCAGCCCCCTGAGCAAGGATGTGGCCAGAGCTGAGAAAGGCTCTCAGAGGGCATCTGGGTTGTCAGGGAGACGCCCCCAAACAGTAAGAGCTGGGCTGGGCAGCCAGCCAAGCTCATGGGCTTGCATTGCCTGGACATGACCTTCCCCTGGATCGCGATCAGCCTGGGCCCTCCTTCCATCCGCCTCCCCAGCCCTGCACTAACACCATTGGACCCGGACAGCCAGGTGGGGAAGGGGGAGAAGCCAGGGGCAGAGCTGGGAGAACAAAGGGCAGAGCAGAGGACAGAAGAGACTCGCCAGGTCGGGGTGGGTGCTGACTGACGGGGTCGGAGGAGAAGCCTGTATCCAGTCCCCATAATGAGGGTTTGGGGAGGAGGATTATGAGGTCTGAGGGCCCCAGGCCCCAACTGGCCACGTGCCCCATTCTTGTCTGGCCAGGGTGACTCATGGTCCTGGAGGTGGGGTAAGGGTCAGTGACCCACCTCCACCCCTTCCTTGGGGGGCTGAGTCATGGGCACAATGACACCAGATTTTTCCATAGTCTTTTTGTAGCCAAACCTTCCCATATTTTCCACCTCTTGCCTCAGAGTTGGGATGGAGCGAGGGGGATGTGAACATTCACTGAGCACCAGTAGGTATTATTCATAACCATCATGCAGGTACAGAAACTGAGGCTCAAGGGAAAGAAGTGGCTTGTCCCTGGCCACGCAGCTGGCAATCAGAACTGAAACACAGGTCTGCTTGGCTCCAAAACCTGGGTTCTCTTATTACATCGGCAGTTGGTGAATGAAAGAAATGATGCATATAAAATGCTCAGAGCAGTGCCTGGCACACAGCAGGGACTCCATAAACGTATGCTTTGGTGTATGATTGTCATGCCAAGGCTGAAGACAGGAGCACGAACTTCCTGGGAAGGCTGTGGGGCCAGCTCTGGGGGCTTGGATAAGAGGCAGCTCTGGAAGAGGGAGGAGGCAGGCCCGGTGCTCACCCGTGGTGCCGTCAGCAGAGACAGGGCCCAGGCGCTTCCTGCCTGCCAGCCCGTAGAGCAGGAACTTGTATTTCCTACTGGGCTCCAGGCCGGGGATGGTGACCTCTCGCTGGTCTGCGTCCACAGGCACGACCTTGGGCTGCCCGTCCCTGTCCTTGTACTGGACCACGAAGGAGTCAAATTCGCCCTCGGGGACTGTCCACGAGAGGCCCATGGAGTCAGGGGTTGTGGCCGTCACTGTCAGCTCCCCCAGGCGGGGAGAAGGTTTCTTGTCTGGGACTGGAAAAGAGAGAGAGGTGCATGGAGAGTGACATGAATAGAGACAGAAGCCAACAGAGCTTCCTCGGAACCCTGGGGCTCTGGGAGCTGGGAGAGGGTAACTAGGCCACATGTCAGGAAAGTGGGAGGCAGAGGAGCCATGGAGGAGAGTAAGTGTCCCTCAGGATGTCAGAGGAGCAGGGAGAAGGATGGGAATGAGGGTAAAGGGGGAGCTCAGGGCCTGGATTTCACTGGACCCAGTACATAAATGGGTCTAATTGTGGAGCATAGAAACAAGAAATCCCAACTGTCACCACAAGGGGGCGAATGACAGTCCGGAGGCTCCAGGGGCAAAGGTGGCCTGCAGCCCTCACTCACGGGTCTTGGCATCTGCAGAGACTGGGCCGTGCCGTTTCTCGTCCTGGAGTCCGAAGAGTAGGAACTTGTACTTGCGGGCGGGGTCCAGACCCGAGACAGTGACCTCGCGGAGGTCTCCGCCCACGGGCACTGCCTGGGGCTGCCCGTGCACATCCCTGTACTGGACCAGGAAGGAATCGAAGGGGCCCTGGGCCACCGTCCAAGAGAGGTGCACCGTGTCCGAGGTCATGGCTGCCACAGCTAGCTCCCCCAGGCGCGGTGCCACAGGGGGCTCTGTGGGCAGGGAGGCTGGAACAGAGCAGAGGAGGGTGAGGGGTCCATGGCGGGACCCGGCGCAAGAGAGGGAGTGCGTTCCCCAGGCTGTGAAGTGAACATTCTGTAGCAAACTCCGCTAATGGGCTTACTGTGTCCCAGACCTGCTGTAGGCGGTTCACAGAGAGGAGTGCACCTATCCTCACACCACACAGGAAGCAGGTGCTATTATTATTATCTCCAGGGCCGGCCCTGTGGCTTAGCGGTTAAGTGCGTGCGCTCCGCTGCTGGCGGCCCGGGTTCGGATCCCGGGCGCGCACCGATGCACCGCTTCTCCGGCCATGCTGAGGCCGCGTCCCACATACAGCAACTAGAAGGATGTGCAGCTATGACACACAACTGTCTACTGGGGCTTTGGGGGGAAAATAAATAAATAAAATTATTATTATCTCCATTTTCCGGGGATCTGGCGCCCAGAGAAGTTAAGAAACATTTGCAAAATCACACAATCAGTGCATTCAGAGCAGGGTTCAAACCCAAGCACCTAGTTCCAAAGCCATGCTCTGAGCCACTAAAACGCCCACTCGGGGAGCCTGAGGAAGCCACACATGAACAACAGAGCACGTTTGAGGTTCCAGATCACGAACAGAAGAAGAGAGCAAAAATGTATGAGGCACAGGCTACACGCCCAACGGACCTGAGCACAGCCTCCATCAGTCCTCACGCAACCCAAGGACAAGGCAGGATCATGAGACCGTATCCGCAGAGAGGGACCCACAGGCCACTTGTGAGGAGTGCTGATTGCAAAGGGGGAAACAGGAGAGAAACAGAAGGAAACCCAGGGGGCAGGGCCTGCCCCTCACTCACTCGTCACGCCCACGGTGGACACGGGGCCCACGCGCTGCCCCTGATGCAGGCCGTACAGGTTCATCTTGTACTTGCGCCCCGGCTCCAGGTCCCCAACGGTGACCTCGCTGTCCTCACCCTTGACACGCACTACCTGGGGCCGCCCGTCCCTGTCCTTGTACTGGACAGTGAAGAAGTCGAAGTGGCCCTGGGGGATGGTCCAGGACAGGCTCAGTGAGTCTGGGGAGGATCCTGTCACCGTCAGCTCCCCAAGAAGGGGCTCCTTGGGGGCCTCCGGGGCCTCTGTGCTGGGTTCCGTTGGGCTGGGGGTCTCTTCCTCTGCAGCTGAGAAGGAGAGACACAGAGAGGGTGAGGCAGGGTCCCCAGAGATGTCCTTGGGTCTTCTCCCAAACTGTGGCCCTGCCTGGGGGCCCTGAGGTCACCTCAGAGGAGCCTAAGGAGGCTGGGTGGTCCTGCTCTGTCCACACCTCACAAACATGCCCGGAGCCTCTGGGGTCAGCTGTAGGGACCAGGGCAGCCACCAGCACAGCTCAGGGCAGCCCTTCTCTGCCCAGGAGGATCCACTAGTCCTCAGGGAGCTGGGAGTTGGGGGGCAGAAAGGGCCCCATGGCTCAGCCTCGAGCAGAGGGCCTCCTGTACCCCACTCACCCATCACCAGAGAGAGGGTGATGCTCCCTCTGGGCTCCATCCTGGGGCTTCCACCGTCCACTCACCTGTCACCCCGATGACAGAGATGGGGCCCACGCGCTGGCTGCCGTAGAAGCCGTACAGGTTCACCTTGTACTTCTGGTCTGGCTCCAGGCCTGTGATGGCGACCCCGTCCTCGTGCCCTGGCACCCGCACCGCCTTGGGCTGCCCATCCCCGTTCTTGT